TTAGGTGTTCGCAACGATGGACACCCAGATCCAACACTCCAGGTATGTTGGTGGTGTATAAGGGCTGTAGTCACACGGTAGTATTCTTGAAGTTCAATTGTCAGTGGTTTTTAGATATATGAGATCCATGACTAAGTCAGATTTTTTTCCCCCAAAAAATGTTAATTAAACAGTTGTGTATTTTCACTTGTTTGTTTTTACACCAGTGTGTATAATAAGTACTTTCATGTAATATTACCTTTTGATTATGGCTCACAATTATTATGATTATTATTTATTATTATTTTTTTTTCATGCATGACTCATTTGCTTGGAGTTTGCTGCTTGTGTTATGCTTCCTTTCTCTAGCTTTTCACTTTTTTTGAGTTTGTGCTTGCCCTATAATATAAGCAATATCTGTTTAACAATTGTTTCTTATCTCATTATATATCTTGTAGAAGTATGACAACAAAGAGTATGAACTGGAGCTTAGGATTTTCTTTATTGGGACTAATATATATGTCTGGACATTTACGTTGTAATACGTGTTTGTTTGTTTTTCAAATTACTAACCCCCAATTGACACTGCAATATGGTGTATGCAATTATATGGAGCGGTATGGCATGCACAAGAGTATTTGATATCTGAAGCAAACTTTACACAAAGGTAAAGGAAAACTAGAATGTTGGCTAGCTTATATTTATTTTGTCGAGTGTAATGAGTATGGTGTTACAGTACTTGGAAATTAATTGGAAGCTAACAAATGACATGAAGTGCTGAGTGCATGTAGTTTTGATAATTAGCTTATGATACACAATTGACTTTGCATATTACTGTATTGAATATCATCAAGTTAAACTGTTTGATGATTGGTGTGCCTCACTAGGATGCAGAAATGTCATAGAAAGATCATTGTGAAATTTGTAAAGGTGATAAAATTCCCTTGATTATTTTTCTCTCTTTAGTATTCTAAGCAGAAAATTATTTGGAAGAAACAACAAGAGCTATATGGCTTTCAAACAAAATGGTGATTTGAAAAGATGTCTCTTCTCTACATATCAACAAATTATAAAACTAGATGAGATGCAAAAAGCAGTTTTAAAGAGTTATGCACTTCAAATCTGAAAAGTAAAGTAGTTTTGGTTAAAGCAAAATACTGTTGCAGATCAGACCACATCTGTGAAGTGTTTTAGATTGACAGATTAGTAGAAAACAATCTGGCTTGTGCAGTGTACCTGATGAATTCTTTCATGATTAAAATTTCTGGTCATCAGCTCAATAAGATAAGTCTGTATACTAATGAAAATAGCTGTGACATGACATTACTGCATTTTAATAATTTTTTCCCTATCTTTGAGATTAATCATAGAAATTATATTTGCCATTTAAATGTTTAATTCTTTTAATTTCTTTGAAAAGGAGAAAAAAGAAAAGCACATGTTTGGCAGTCTCTTTTTATTATGATTTTTGCTCACATTTTTTTTCTTTTACACTGTTTTGAAAATCCTCTAAATCCCGCCAGAACCAGTCACACCGTCAACACCATCGCGAGGCCGGGTCGTGGTGGCCATGTACTCATTCCAGGGTCGCAGCAATGGCGAACTCACCTTTGAGAAGGGAGACAGGATGGAGATTCTCAATGATGCGTAAGTTCACCTTGAACATTTAGGAAATTAACTTCATGGGAAAGAATTCATCCAAGAGACTTGTGTTTTTATACATGCACTATGTAGGTGTATTATATATATATATTTGTAGATAGATATGACCATGGGTATAGTGTTTGTATGTATTGGTATAGAAGTTGGATATATGTGTAGATACTGTATGTATATACATATTTATACATCTATTAAGGAGAAAGAAGAAATCTGAATTGAGAATATTTGAATGATTGTTCATGATCCTCTCTTTCCATTTACAGTGATGCTGACTGGTGGTTAGCACGACATATGACACATGGCATTGACGGCTATATTCCAAAGAACTATGTTGCATCTACATCTTCGCTTGAGTGCCAAGAGTAAGGAGTGCAAATCCTTTACAGAGTATTTTCATTGTGATTGACTTGTCTTGTGATAAACTTGAATATTTTCAGCATTATAAGTAGGTAGAAGTGATAACATTTTAAATGGTGTTCATCTTTTGCAGCTGGTACTTTGGCAAAATAGCCAGGAAAGAAGCAGAAAAATTACTAATGACACGGGGGAACTTAAGAGGCACTTTTCTCATCCGTATGTCGGAACAATCTAGTCATGGATATTCCCTAAGTATAAGGGTGAGTGTTGACAGTTGTTTATGCAGGGATCGTATGGGCCAGATCAAGAATGATTATTTATGTGTATTATTGTTATTTTTGTTGTTGCTGTTATCATCATCATCATCATCACTATCACTATCAACACCAACACCAATATCAACATCATGATGATCATTGTCTACATTATCATCATCATCATCATTATCATTATCATTATCATTATCATTATCATTATCATTATCATTATCATCATCATCATCATCATCATCATCATCATCATCATCATCATCATCATCATCATCATCATCATCATCATCATCATCATCATCATCATCATCATCATCATCATCATCATCATCATCATCATCAAAGTTGTTATTATTATTGAACTGATTTATGAATTGCATAAAGAGTTGATATGGAGTCTGTGCAAGGAAAACAGTCTATTACCATCTGGATAAAGCAAATCAAATAACAAATATGGACATTGGAAATTAGTAAAAACAAAAACAAAAAATGCTTATTCATAAAAAGAGAAAATAATATTGCAAAGGGGAGGCATCAAGTCTTGTAGCACATAAGTATTCATGTGTGCCCAGCCTACAAGCCATGCATCTATTAGAGTGGCTGCTCATGCAAGCCTAATGCCCATATTTTAAGTCATGTGATTGCAGTGAAGCAAACTGGATTCAATGGTTAATGGTGTCATAGAAAAAATAAAAAAATAAATCTACACTGGGGGTTCAGAGTAGTAACCAAGGTCTTTCCTTCTCAGGATTGGGACCAACAAAAGGGAGAACATGTCAAGCACTACAGAATCAAGGTCACTGACAATGGAGGCTTCTTCATCACCTCATCACAGGCTTTCCGGACACTCAATGACCTGGTGGATGCCTACAAAAGTAAGGGATTGGATCTATTTCATTGTGATGTCTGGTTGTTCACATACATGAAAAGAAAGTTTTGTAATTTATTTCTAAGATGTACATATTTTGATTTGTTTTATGGAATCGAATATTACTTAGTATTGTTTACTATATTTGGAGAAACCCTGATTGATATAAATGTTGGCATTCTATGTCAAGAGCAGAAGGTGTGCAGTATTACATTTCTAGGAAAGATATCATTAAACATCTTTTACAGGAAACAACTATGGGCTAGCATGTCTCTTGCAATACCCATGTCCACGTCCACAACCCCAGAAATGGGATCTGTCACGAGAGACCAAAGATCAGTGGGAGATTGACCGTACTACTCTTTCCATGAACAAGAAGTTAGGACAAGGTTCCTTTGGTGAAGTGTGGTATGGTAAGTTTTGTTTTCATTTTGTTTGTCTTTTATGGATGGAGGGCTTTAGAGAAGTGGATTATGTACGATGAGTGAAACATCGTATTGAATTGTATATTTGATTTTTAACTTATATTTCTAAAGAATTATAGTTTAGAGTGAGTGATATAGTTGTGAAAGTAACTATTTACATTAACTTGTTTTAGTTAATATATCTTTTATTACATTTTTGAGCATGAATGTGATGAGCCTTATGTGAGTGATGTAGTAAACCTACATGGTTTTAAAATGTTTGACTGTGTCTATAATAGTGATTTGTGTTTCCCCATCAGGTATGTGGAACAACTCTACAGAAGTTGCCATCAAGACCCTAAAACAAGGAGCAATGAGTCCTTCTGCCTTCTTAGAAGAAGCCAGAATCATGAAAAAATTACGGCATCGTAATATTCTTGTACTTTATGCTGTTTGTACGAAAGAAGAACCTATACTAATAGTCACTGAGTATATGTGTAATGGTGCACTGCTAGATTTGCTCAGGAATGAGGGAGAGCGCACCCTCAAACTCAATGACTTAATATATGTGGCAACACAGGTTAGTATCTTTTGCTTTTCTTTCTCTCTCTTTCTCTCTCTCTTTTTTTTATTTATTTATCCCTTTACCCTCAGGCTTGCAAGCCACTTCATGTAAATCCCATTCTTACATTTTGTACTTTCCATATCCCTCCCACATCCTGTTTTTCATAACTAGGAGGAAAAGGTAAGTAGATTGAGTATAATCATTGATTTGGGACATCAGCCAGACAATTTAGTTCCTAGTAAACCTGAAGGGGAAGGTAAAGCTAGAAATATTGATTTTATAAACCAAGAACATGAGAATTTTAAGATCTTATCCTATTTTCCAGGTTGCTGCAGGTATGGCTTACCTAGAGAGCAAACAGTTGTTACATCGAGACCTTGCTGCCCGTAATGTATTAGTAGGTGAATCTTTGACATGTAAAGTGGCAGATTTTGGCTTAGCCCGAATTGTGGAAGGTGAAGACTACTGCCCAAGCACATGTAAGTCTGTCATGATGTATTCTGTACTAGCCTATGTTTGAAGTATACCGGTGGATGCTTTCTTTGCCATTAGCAATTCATTTATTAGGACTTTTCAGTCTTTACATATATATTATATTGATAGTTTGCCTATAATTGCCAATACATTTTTTTTATGTTAATTCCTCTCTTCTAGGTAATAAATTCCCTGTCAAATGGACAGCACCTGAAGCCATGCTGTACAACCGCTTTACTATCAAGTCTGATGTCTGGTCATTTGGTATTCTACTAATGGAAGTGATTACCTATGGTGCTAACCCATACCCAGGTCTGTTTGAATTTTTGTTTTATACTGCTTGTTCATTAACATACATTTATTGTTAGAAAAAAAGTTATCAATAGGGGTCGGCCATAAGTCGTGCTTCAGTCTATAGCTAGCTTCAAGTCAGACAATGCAAAATTGCCTAATTATTCTTGCTATTTAATTACTAGTTATAATTGCAAACTTGATTATTATGCTTTGATATACACTTATGCTACTTTCAAGTTCTTTGGATAGCTCTGTATGAGAAGGATGATCAGTATGTTCTACATAAGAAATTGTTGCATAGAAATTTTGGATCATGATTTGCAGGCAGTGACCCACAGGGGGTTTAGCATTTTAAAGTACATATGATAAGAGCATAGTCAGAAAGTTAGAATTTTATTAAATATTTTAGTATCAGTGATCCCATCATATCAATGATAGATACATGCTAAAACAGATCTATATATTTGATATTCTCATAGGTTTGTCAATATATTATATGATTTGGAGGATATAGATTATCATTGCCTATTGCTAGCTTATGCCTTTAGCTTTGCATTGCTTGGTTTGCCTTGCAGGAATGAATAACCGAGAGGTCATAGAGAAAGTCCAGATGGGCTACCGAATGGCCAAGCCTCCACGAGCTCCCGATGAGTTATACGAAGTGATGCTCCATTGCTGGGATAAGTATCCTGATCAACGACCTACCTTTGACTACTTGCATCATTTCTTCGATGACTACCAGGTCTCCTCCGAAATACCCTATCGCGACATCCACGACTAATAACAACATGACCCTGCCTGACCTCCACCCTCTAATTCAGACCCTCCCAGGCCAGGACAACCTGGGTAAAAAACAGTCAGTAAGTTTTTGTAATTGGTCACCCAGAATAAGTAGCTGGGTAAGGTTCAAGAGCTGAACCTTGAAAAAGTAAACTTAATTTTTATTAATATGGTGGAGGGTAGCGGTAACTAGGGACACATTGCTTTGTTCATGGCACGATGATTCCCCAATGATTAGATAGTATTGTGATAAGGACAATTCTCCTTCTCATATTGGTATCAAATTAATTGGCAGTGCTTGATGTCCAATAATTCAACTGATGCATTGTTCATAATTCTTGTTACCTGCTATTAATTATAACGGAACTTGTCGCCTTAGACATGGTTCTTGCAGAACTTTACTTTGCTTATATTTGAAGTGGATGTTTCAGAAAAAGAGGGTGTTTATAGAAACTGAATTCTCAGGTAGATGTAGAATTGTTTCTGTATGTTGTGCTTAGTGTTTGTCCAAAGAGTACACTGCTACTCCATTTGGACTGATTGTATGCCTCTAGCTGTATCACAAAGACTATGCTTGATGAGGAGAATTCATTTTCTACAAAAGACCTCTTGGCCGAGGGGGAGATTTTGTACCACACCAAAAACTATATCAAAACCAATTACACAATCCCATGTGTAGTCATAGTTGTAGAGAAATTTCCCAGTGTCCTTGCACCCTGTCTGTCTTATTGTTGTGCCCATTTCTCTGTGGAGATGCTTTTTTTGTGATAGAATTCCCCTCACTCCCCTTCATCCTGTCAAGGCTGATCTTTGCTTTCTGTCCCCCTTGGAAAATGATTAGTCACCATGGAGATACTTGGACAAAAATGTGGATTCGTGATTTTTTATTCTTAGTTTTAGTGTTACTGGAATGATTAGAAAAAAACGTTCCTTCACTTGTGCTTGTAATTTGCTTATACATGAATGCTGTTTTGCATGTTATATGATGTTGACTGTATAGTGGTCTATCTTGATTTGAAAACCAATGAGTGTTTAATTGAATTATCAAAAAGTTTTGATACAAGTTTTGAAATCATTTTTCAGTCATATTTTATTTGGAATATTATTTGGTGCTGTATATAAAAATACTTAAACAATGGATACCTTTTCCTTAATTAATGTACATGATAACTGATCTAAATAGAAATGGTTCTTTTGTAATTTGAACTTTATAAACTACTGTAAAAGATGAGTGCTTACAATAAGTAATGATTATATTTATTATTGTACTTTGCTTTTTAGACTTTTATAAAAGAGAGACTCCTGAATATATATGGAAGAAAGTTCCATAATAGTAATCATAATCTTAGGTTATATCTTATTTTTGTACAAACCTCCTATGATAAGGCATCATGTTAGTTTTGGTATATGTTCACTGCCTTAAAAATATTTTATCAATTAATGATTCAGTTTTTAAAGATAAATAGGGATTTTCCAGCACTATTAAACAGCAGAAGAATATGAAATTATAAAAAAAGAGTGCAATAGTTGTAAATTGAAGATGAATATTTTTATTTTATTTATTATTATTATTATTATTTTTTAAATGTTTTACACTGTATTATGGGGGATCTGATTAAGGGCTTTTGTGAATAAATTGTTAATGATTAATCTTCCATCTATCTGATGCAAAGAAAAAAGTCTTAAAGGGGACCACTTGAATTTTTTTTTTTTTTTTTTTTTTTTTTGATATATTGTATTCTATTCATCCTTTTCTGTATTTTCCTGAATGTCATTATAAAAGGAAAGAAAGGAAAAGGAGAAAAACATATATGCTTCCCCTCAAATATTAACAGCAGAAAGCAGTTTATGGGTTTGATTATTAGTCATAGACCAAGGTAACTCTGGACTGCAAGGCATATTGGCTTGTTGCAAAACAGCCCTACAGCCTGTTTTACGTGTCACTGGTGTTTGATGGATATCAGTGCAAATTTTAATTTGTTTTCTGTTCATATTAGAGAGGATGAAATTTAAAAAATCGAGAGAAATGCACACATATACATTAAATTGTGTAGTGTGTAACCTTTTTTTTTAAGTGTGGAAGATGTCCATGAAAGTTTCTTTTTTTTTTAAATGTTACCCTTCCTATGGTGATCTGAAATATGACATGTGGCTGACAAAGACTTCATGGATGTGGATTGCTCTGTGGCAGAGCTGAAAAATGTGCCTAATTAGGATTTTATTTTTTATTTTTGTTCCATCATATTGGAAATTATTTTAATGGTTGACGCTAGATTAAAGTAGGCTACACATCAAAAAGTATGCTCAGGGGTCAGTAACATTTCAATACATTGTACCTTCTTACTGCAGTATAACTGCATGCCAACTATAATTTTTTTTTACAAGTTACTGAAATTTGTATTATAAAAAGTATACTTGTATACATATTCAAAACACATTCTGATTATGTTATTATTAAGACTATAAAAATGTTCTTACCATTTGAATGTGATTTTTGCAAGTGTTTTGAAATGCAATGTTATTTTTCAGTACTTAATAAACTTTCAAAATCACCTGGCCTACCATGGTCAACCCTTTCAGGTACCAAGTTGGTAGTAAATGATAGCTTTGCAACATTAAAGGAAGAATGTTATTAACTAGGTTAAACTCAAATAAACAATACATTTACAGTAAGTATACTACACTAGGAAGCCTTATGATAAATAACACAGTATTCACACAAATATAGAAGCTAAACTAGGCTTTACACAAATTAACTATTTTACTGCCCTAAATAAGCTGTACTATTAGTAGTAGTAAACTAACCAGACCAGACTACATAGTGACCAATTCAGGATGGGATGATGTCTTCTCATCTCTTGGCAAACTGTCCCTTATCCTGGGATGACATTGCATTATGTGCAGTTTTGCCCCCTCAGAGTTATGTGCACTAAATAGTACTTTGCTTGTTTGGCCCTAGTTATAGACATTAAGGAGAAACAGCCCTTAAAAGTAAAATTAAAGCTGTTTTTTAGTCTCATTAAGTAAACAATTGTTTATGCCACAGCAAAAGAGCATAGAAATTTTGGATTTTTTTTTACTTCATATGCACCCAGTTACTTGCTTTAGTATGGAGTTGGGGGCTTCTGTTGTGAGTGGGTTAATATTATCTAAAATATGCACTGAAAAACTAAATTGTACTGCAGATATTCAAGAAAATTATTTTTTATTAGGCTAAATATCTTGGAAAACAAATGCACCAGCATACATAATTGTACTGAGAAAAAATGTCAGCAACACTATATTGGATGCAAGAATAGAAAAAAATTGTAGTAAAGCCTTACTATCGTAGAAACAATGATAACATGTGGGAGACATTTTCAGGAAAATTGATGAGTGTAGGTGGTAAGCAGTTCAATGGGTACATTGAAAGGGAAGTTAGAATCTATTCATTTTCATACCATCAACACACCACAACTATAAACATTAATTCAAGACATTCTAAAATGTTTGATGAAATAGGATACCTGCTGAAAATGTACTCACTTTAGGAAGCATTTGAAAATGGAAATATCTGCATCTGGCTTCAAAATCATACCCTGCCTTTCTGTTATCCTGAAGGTTTCATGGCAAAAAATATAGCTCACACATGCCAGCTGGTTAGGGCTCCATCCTGTGCCATGGTGACTCAGGGCAACAATCCACTTACTCTGTATACCTGGTCTGGAAGCTTAAGAAAAGGCACTGTGTTCCACATCCACCAGCTTAGATAATTTTTTCCCCCCCTGGTAGTCTATACCCTAAACAGCAGTTTGCTGCAGTGCATACTTCAGTATGTTGAAAGCTCAAATCTGCATTAAAAACATCAGATTAAAACACCAGATTAATAATTCTTTGTATGAATTGCAGTTTTATTTGGATGTGAGGGAATGGAAAAGGTAAGAATTTTTTATATCACAAGCAATAAGAAATGCACTGAATAAAAACAGAAAAGAAAGCACACTTACAAGGACAAGTGTGGTGGTGCAACTCGTTGTCTTGACTGTTAGAACAAGTTTGACACCTTGACTTGATATACCCAGCAATCTCAAACTGTGTGCACCTAAACAGCCCAGAGTTACAGTGATCTATGTATCAATTTACAAAACACTAGTCAGACTGTGTCTGACTAGTGTTATGAGCTGTGTAATTCTAAAAATTCCCATAGATTATTTTAGAAAGGTTTGTTAGGAATTCTGCTTTCTTTTTTTTAGAGATGTATTTTGAATAAGTATTTTTCTTCAGTATGAAGATCATACTACATGCTGAAACCATCCAGTGTTTCAGTAAGATTCCACATTATTCTAGTATTCTAGACATATTACAAGGAATTCTGCGGCAGAGTGCTAAGTTGGCATTTCAGCTAATAGCACATTTTATTTCTCTAGAAGTAATTAAACACATTTGAAGTTATTTCAAGTGTGCTGTAACATGCACATGCACATGAATTCTCTCTCTCACACACACACACACACACACACACATATATCATATAACATATATCACAAAAGCACATGTATGCATGCATACACAAGTACTCACATGCACTTACACTTACAAGGACATACATTCATAAGCATGCACATACACGTATGCACACACATTGTCAGTTAGAGTAAGAATTTTTTTTTTCTCTCAAGGGTTATATTATCTGTTTGATAATAGAACTAAGTATTGAAATTCTATACCTATCATATCATAAAATCATGTTTTAAAACAGGTGGTTCCCTTATAAGTAACTAGATACCAATACTATCACAGTATTAATGGAATGTCCCATAAAACCCAAAAATGAAGTAATATGTTCTTCATCCTTATTTTTAAAAAGGATTTTATATATGATCCTATTAAAAAAAGAAAATATTGCAGGGGAATTGTGAATACCCAATTAATGCAATATAACCTTTAAATCTTTTAACTATGGCACGTGGCATGTCTTGAATGAAATACATCGCTGCAGACCAGATTACCTGTATATATATATATATATATATATATATATATATATATATATATATATATATATATATATATATATATATATATATATATATATTGTGCTAAAATGATAACATGATGGTACCATTGTCAGCACCTCATTTTTACTGATATTTGCTATGAACCTCAAAACTGCATGGTGCCATATGTATTAAATAAGAACCCAAGTACCATTTATAGTGTATTCTATTTTTTTTTTTTTTTTTTTTTTTTTTTTTTTTTTTTTTTTTTTTTTTTTTTTTTATATAGATACTGCTTAAGGGATGTTTTTTTTTTTTTTTTTTTTTTTTTTTTTTTTTTTTTTTTTTTTTTTTTTTTGTAACTAAGGATAACACAGTCTCTTAATAGGAAGTTTTGCTCATGTCAGCAACAGCTGATAGAATTAGGACAGAAATAAAAATTATTTGGACTGAACATTATTGTATTTGATAAGAAACATTAAGTGGACCATTGTTGGAAATTGCTAATTTCTTAATTTACTGGTAAATATGGATAAAGGAGAAATATAATATCTCCACTTTTATATACTTGTCCCTTGCTAAATCCCAACTTCATAACTCCATGATTTACTAAAAATTTGGAGAAAAAAAAAATGCATTAAAGTAGGTGTAATCTGATGACTGGCATCCATTAAAAGATTATTAGAGAAACCATACATAATTTTGAAACTGTCCATTTAAATGGATATGAAGATTTCTATTAAGTTGTATGTAAAAAATTTAATTCATAAAAAAATTCAGCCTAAACTATTTTCCCAATCAACAAAGAATATATCAGCATGATTATTAATTGTATCTGCTATTTAAAATAATGTAACTGTTTTGAGACAACCTCGTGAAACACTCAGCATATTTTATTGAAACAATAGAATACTAGAATGGTGCCACTGTCTTTTTATTTAACTGCTAAGCAAGTGCGGTCCAATATAAGTATTATAATAGATCATACAAAAAAGTAAAAGTAAATATGCCTTGGAAGCACAAATGTAGAAAAAACAAACAGTTAATCGTCAGACTCCCTCTCCCTCTCCCTCTCCCTCTCCCTCTCCCTCTCCCT